AATAACTTGAATAGCATTCAAAGAATATGTTGAAAAGTATTGGAAGAAAAAACTGAAGAGTATTGGAAGAATGAGTTGAAGAGTATTCCAAGAATAAATTTTTTGTTTAGTGACTTTCACACCTATTAAAAAAATTACACCTAATAATATTTTTTAATCATCTATTAAAAAATTATTAACTTACCTTTAATAAACAATAAACAATTTTTTTTTTCAATGCTCAAATGTGCATTTAGGTCCTCCAGCAAATTACTTTTTAACATTAGTTCATTACACTGAGAAAGAAGTGACTGAATTGGATGGTTTTTACAAAAATAAAATAAAAATAGATTTAACTGATGTTAATAAAAATAGATTTAACTTTAAATATGTGTGTTTACTTTAAATAATTTATTAAGAAACAAAACAATCATCAAATTTAAAGATAAATATTTTGCATTTGAATTAGATACTTAAAGAAAATTTAGAAATTTGTTAAATACATTTAATAAAAATTACTGATAATTATCCTCTTCTAATGTTTTTTCAGCTGTTGACTTTCTTGAATTAGATATCAATGAAAGAGAAGTAAAATATATATGCCAATATCATGTAATTCCAAAAATATTATTTATTTTTTATCATGTAATGGATGTAATGGAAAAACAATATACATTGGTAAAACTAATAACCTAAGATTAAGAAATAATCTACACATCTACTCATGCAAGAATTTTTTCCGATAAATTTAATCAGCATGTTTTCAAACTATTCTGGTCTGAAGACCAGAATAGTTTAACTTTAGTGAATTATTGTCATACATACTTTTGTGAATTTCGTTAATATTAGAATACGCAATGATATTGTATTTCGAAAATTTATTTTTAAAATGAAAAATTGATAAGTATACTTACAATATTTTTATTTGAAGAATAATATCTTTTCTCACAATTTGAAGTATATTTTGTATTAGGAAAATTTAGTAAATTATGTTTTAATATATTTATGTTGTAAAGGTTGCTTTTATGAAATTTTAAAAGTTTGTGTTAACTACATGGTGTCATTTTACATGTATATATATTATGATATATACCCCACCCCCCCCCCCCCCCAAAAAAAAAATACACAACCCCCCCCCCCCCGAAAAAAAAAAAAAAAACACAAAAAATCTGTTAATTATCATTATTACCTTTTTTAACCAACTTAATTAATAGTACTTTGTATGATATAATGATAAATAGGTAATAGCTGGTTGCTTTAATCAAATGTTTTATATGTTTGCTAACAATGTTTTATATGTATTTCATTTATTATAACACATCTTAGGACAATTAAAAAAACAACAAAAAAAACAGAATATTTTAATCCAATATGCTACTATGAAACCATGTAATTCGAATCCAAAAAGATCTCAAATTATATTTGAATTACAAAAGTTTCCGACTTAAAATAATTTAATCCTAAATAATAAAACCCGATGGTATCAGAAACTTTGTTTAATATATATAATTTTTCAAACTATAGGAGTTTGAATTACCAGTGGTCAACTGTAATTATAAGTAAAAAATGCTTAAGCAAAATAAGAATATGACTTGTAAATCATATCAGATTTGTTTTTTGAATAATTTCTTTGAGTTATATTAAATAATCCTAGAGTGAATCGACTTTGCTTGACTTAGGTGAATGCACACAAATTTGTAACTGGACAAAGGATATTAGCATCAACAATAACATTTGTACATGTGAATCGGGTTGGTTTTTGGGTATAAACAATTATAGTTGTGTTGGTTAGTTTTTATTAACATTTTTTCAAAGTTTGGTTTAGTACTACAATTTTTAAATTTATAATTTTTTAACATAAATTGTGTTATATTTATTTTAAGACATAAATGAATGCAATAGTTTCAATATACCTTGTAATTGGACTAATAGTGTTTGTAAAAATACTGCAGGAAGTTATATATGTTCATGTGAATCTGGCTGGAGTTTAAATGAGAATAATGATAGCTGTGTTGGTAAGTTTTTACTGTATTGTTTTAATAAACAAATTTTTTATGTGTAATTTTATCTTAATAAGTCACTCTATATTTATCTTAAGACATAAATGAATGCAAAAGTTTGAATATACCTTGTAATTGGACAAACAGTGTTTGTAAAAATACTGCAGGAAGCTTCATTTGTTCATGTGCATCTGGCTGGAGTTTAAATGAGAACAATGGTAGCTGTGTTGGTAAGTTTTTACTGTGTTGTGTTAATAATAAATTTTTAACATGTAATTTTATCTTAATAAATCACTCTATATTTATCTTAAGACATAAACGAATGCTATAGTTTAAATATACCTTGCAATTGGACAAACAGTGTTTGTAAGAATACTGCAGGTAGCTTTATATGTTCATGTGCATCTGGCTGGAGTTTAAATGAGAACAATGATAGCTGTGTTGGTAAGTTTTAAATGTGTTGTTGCAATAAAAAATATCTAATGTGTACTTGTGTCTTAGTAAATCACTCTATATTTATCCTAAGACATAAATGAATGCGATAGTTCAATTAAGCTTTGCAATTGGGCAGATTGTGTTTGTGAAAATACTGTGGGAAGCTACGTTTGTTCATGTGCATCTAACATGAGTTTAGATAAGAATAATGCTAGCTTTGTTGGTAAGTTTTTGTTGCTTTTTTTTAGTAATAAAATTTTTTACGTTGTTTTTTCTAAGTTGGTGATTTATACTTACAAATCATATTACACAAAGTTGGATAAAAGTTAAAGCGTGCATGGTTATAAATTTTATATGGCAATAATAATACAACTAAAAAATTACATGTTTAAAAACTTAAATCAAACACAATTTGTAAAATTGCGTAATGTATTTATAATTATTTATATAGAAATACTGATATTGATTAAAAACTAAAAGGATAATTTTTTAAAAAATCATTATTTAAATAATGGATATTTGATACACGTTGCTTGATAACATAATGTTTAACTATAGCATTGCACCTCTAAAAGTAAAAAGTCTAAAACCAACTGTTATTGACCTTATAATTTATGTAGAAGATCAATGTTTTTAATATAAGTAAAATAAGAATATAGTATGTGCGAGGCTGAAACTATCTGAGAAATTTTCCTAATAAAAATATTTGCCTTCTTACAGAACACACTGTGGTTATGGGGTGAGGGACCAATTTTCTTGATAAAAAAAATTGATTAGAACTGACATAGAGTAGCATATGATATGAACTACAAATACGCCGACTATTAATTCATTTGCATTTGAAAAATATACAAAATGCAAAAAAGTGAGACAGGTACTTAATTACTCTTATGTAACACCAATAGTAAAAAGCTTTAATTAAAGTAAATGTAAAGAAAAGAAGTTAATAAACTGCACAATGACATTTTAAATCAAACTTTTTAAAATCTAATTTAAATGCAAAAAATGAAAGCTAATTTACTTTGTGGTCAGGGAGTGAGTTCCATACTCTAATTGTCTTTCATTGTACAAAAGTCTTTTTTGCATAATTTGTGTATTTATTATGTTAAGTAAATTTTATGCAAACAACTTCTTGTAAAAAATTATAATTTTTTTTGATGACAAGATAATTTACTAGTTTTTAAAGTTGGTAAGTTATAAGCAGAGTTGTTAGTCCTTGGCCTTGCCTTAAGGCCAAAAATTAGGTCCTTGACCATGGCCTTGGCCATGCTTCTCTAGGCCTTGGCCTTGGTAATGGATTTGAAACTCTTGGCCTTAGCCTTGAATTTTTTTTTCGATTTTTCTGTTTATTTTAGCAAGTTCATTTTTTGAATTTACAACAATAGAATTGTTTAAAAGCAGATACATGCTGCAATTCATTAACGTTTAACGTTATATAATATTATTTGGTTACTTACTTTAGTTAGTTAGAAAAAATCAATGTGACATTTCTTTGACATTTTGAAGACAATAGAATATATGAAAAATTTGTTTTTTCGAAGTTTAAAGTTCGAACGATTTTAAAATTTTGAGTCAGAATAAAATATTCATTCAAAGAACAGTTTTTATTTAAAAAGTATGAAAGTTCTATAAAAAGAAGTATGTAAAGAATATAAATGTTATTATTAATCGTTATGAAACGTTATAACTTTAAATTGTTCCAGAGTTAATTTTTAAATATGCTATTATTACAAAAGTAAGATTATTTTAAATCAAGAGCAGTTTTAATTTGACTAGAAGAAAAAGAAGTGAAGAAAAATTTAAGGTACCAAATATACCTTAAGGTACTTGAGAAATGAAATTTTGATCTTTATAGTTATAGTATGTCAAATTCTTTGCTTGAAACAATAATGTTTCTTAAATGCAAAGACTTGTAGACTATAATAGTTCATTTGTCAACTTATATTTAATGCTAAAAAATATTATTAACATCTTATATTTTTAAATTTTTACTTATTTTTGTTTTTGGCTTTACTATATACCTATTTTGTAATACATTTTCTAATTGACAATATATTATTGAAAAAAGTTGATACTAAAAATAAAACGAATGTTTTCTATTAACAAGTATAAGGTAACTTAATACAGCAGTTGAGGGGGCCCTAAAACTGTAAAATAGTACTCTATTGTGTTATAAGTAATTCTAAAAATCATTTTTTTTTAATATTTATTGTCAATTTTTAAGAGATTTATTATATAATATATAATTGATTAAATTTAATGAGATTCAATTTTATACAAAACCATGATTTATTTCATGATGTTAATAGGATACCCCATGGTTAGGATACAATGATACAAATTTCTAATTTTACTTTAAATAATCTCACAAGTTTAACCTGTTATAATTTGGTAATTATTAAACTTAACTTTTTAGGTAAAATTTATTTTATAAACTAAATCAATTACCTAAAAAAAAATGCGTAGTAAAAAAATCTTTACAAAGCCAAAAACCAAAACTTCCATAAATCAACAAATTTATGCCCAATTGTATAAGTCATAAAAAAAATAAATTTAATTCTAGGGTACTCAAGAATTTCGATTTGAAAATTAATAAGTTTTGCTAAGTAAAAATACGTAATATAACATCATTTGCAGACAATATTAGTAAAAAAAAATTGAAATTTTTTCATGCAACTTATATCTTTTAAAAAGTGAGGACTTTAAACTGGAGTCAAGATTCTAGTGCAGGCATAGGCATGTCTAGACCTATTTGCAGGTTGTGCACAATAGTGGCCTATTTAGGAAGAGCAGGTTCCTGCTAAAAAAAATTAGGTTTCAGTTTAGGCGTATTACCCCCAAATTTCTTAATAAGCTTTATCATTATTATCTAATAATGATTAAATCAAAAATGCAGGAAGGGTTAATAACAGTATTACTACTAACACTATTAAGTAGCTTATTATATAGAGATCGTTGTAGCAATTTATAACTTATAAATTTAGATCAAATTTCGCAAGTCATGCCAGTACATGACAGACAAGACCTGTAGACACGCCTATGAGTGCAGGCAGCACATAAACTTTTTATGCTTTACAATAAAGTTGAAATATGTTATTGGTGAATTAAAAGTAGGTAAATAAGTGATCTACGTTTGAGATACAAGAAAAATCATCAGATAACTTTGTATTATAAGTCATAGTGATTTAAAAGTCCTGAATTTAATAAACAATTTAATAATTGCTAGAACTATAATTAAATTGGATTTTATTTGTTTGGATATTATTGCTGATTTTTAGTGAGCTTTAAAATAGTAATGAGATTTGTTTGTGTTACTTGTTTTTGTAGCTATATTACTACATTTCTAATATTTTATTTGATTATTACATCATATGATAGTTGAATTTCGTGTGGACTGGCACACCAAGATTTTGCTTCTTTAACAATTTAAAAGCTTTTCTTTGTTTTTATTTAAGTTAGGTTGAATGATTTTAACAGGGTACTCGATTAAGTGTGCCTATCACAGAAACTGATGCTCTCTGTTTTTCTTAAGCTTTATGAGACTTTAAGATGCTAAAAAGTTGTAGAAGAGTTCTATGAAATGAATATAGCTGGAAATATGCTTTTTTATATTACCTTTTTTCTTTTCCCAGTTTGCTCAATAGTTCCTGGGACTCTGTTGTAAGATTCTGGTTATTATTGAACCTTTAACTTTTTTTCTGAAAAGTATCAAATGTGTTTATTACAACAACTTTCTAGATTCACTTTCTAGAACAGTATAGAAAACTTCCAGAATATTATGGAATACTATAAAACATTAAACATGAAATCTATCAACACATTTAGACACATTACCAAATAATTTCAATTTTCGAAAAAATCTTCCTAAACATACTTAGGAAACCTTCCTAAACCTTTCATAACAATTTTGAAGAAAAAAACGTTTTGGAATGTTATGGAAGTTACTAGTTTGTTCTGGAAGATTATTGAGCATTCTAAAAACTCTTGAACCTATCAGAATGTTTTTAAAGGTTATAGAAGGATCTGAAAAGTTCTAGAAGGATTCTATATAGTTTATATGCAAAGTTTTTCACACATCAGTTTGAATAAAATGGATAATAAATTAAGTGTTCACAATATTAGTGAAACAAAAATAAAAATACAATCACTGTTTCATACATTAAAACACGGAAATAAGGCTTTGGTTATCCAATTAATGTATTTTTCGAAGCACTCTTTCATCAAAATTGCCTTTTGAGACTACTTCATATTCAAAATTGTTCTTCTGGAGTCAGAAACATTCTCAACTCTTACATGGCTGTAGCAAAAGTCAGCTAAGATATAGTTTTACTAAAAACAATTCTACATCTAAAATAAGGTTCTACTAAGTTATAATGCTCATGACAAATTTTTGTTTTTTCTGCAATGAATGGACCATACTGAAATATAAATCTATAAATGATTCTCCATCAAATAACATTAAACAAGAATAATTAAAAAAAACAAGCGGTAAAGCTCTATGGCTTCTCTGATACTGATGCCATTGAAACAATTCAAACTGATTGATGTTGAAATTGTTTCGAACTTGTTTTTGCAAATATACTTTATGTTTTTTTGATTACCTGAGTATATCACCTGTATTAGTAATGGATATTTATATGTATATCTATCTATCTATCTATCTATTTATCTATCTATCTATTTATCTCTCTCTCTCTCTCTCTCTCTCTCTCTCTCTCTCTCTCTTATATATATATATATATATATATATATATATATATATATATATATATATATATATATATATATATATATATATATATATATTTATATATATATATATATATATATGTACATATATATATATATATATATATATATATATATATATATATCTACATATATATATATATATATATATTTATATATATATATATATATATATATATATATATATATATATATATATATATATATACATATATATATATATATATTGATATATATATATATATATATATCTATATATATATATATCTATATATCTATATATATATATATATATATATATATATATATATATATATATATATATATATATATATATATATATATATATATATATATATATATATATATATATATATATATATATATATATATATATATATATATATATATATATATATATATATATATATATATATATAAATATGTATATATTTATATATATATATATAAAAATATGTATACATTTATATATATATATACATATATATATATATACATATATATATATATATATATATATATATATATATATATATATATATATATATATATATATATATATATATATATATATATATATATATATATATATATATATATATATATATATATATATATATATATATGTACAAATAATGTCAGTCTGATAAGATTATATTTTAAAAGTTTAAGTTGTCTTCTAAAACACTATTCAAAGAACTCAGTCTAAATACGGTCTTGAATTGATAATTAGTAATAAAAAATTTACACATTGAAAAGATAGAAAAAGAAAATATTAAACAGTAATCTTACATTAAATAATAATTCTACAAATAATTATTTTACTGAAAAGAAAAAATAAATATTAGGTAAAAATAATTTATTGTTTGTAAATATTGCTGTTACATTATTTTTTCTCTCTAAACTTATTTTTAGCAAAATTTCTCATTTAATAATAACCTTTGAATCTAAATGAGATCTATTTACTATAACTTTAAAAATGAAATGAATCTTGCAGGATGATCATCAATGCAACAAAATATGTTGGAGGGCATTAAAATGAATCATACAGAAGGAAAATATGAAATAAATCATGATCAAAGGTCATAAATAAAAGTAGTTGTATTGCTTTTATTTACGACCGTTTTATAATTGTATTGTCAATGTATTTATAATTATAATCCTTGTTTTTGTTTTTTTTGTTTTTCTTTTAAAGACATCATATAGATGTAATAAAACTTGATTTAAAGTGTGAAGGTCTAGCTGTATAAGTTATTTAACAATGATGCAATAGTTAGAGCCCAAGTATTTCGTGTAACAATTCTATATATTTAAACTTTTAAAGTTAAGAGAATAGTAAATATAAAAAAACAGAAAATTCCTAGTGTCTACCCAGTATTCATGTTACTATTTAATTAGTAGCAGTTAAAAAGAGTAAGATTTAGATTTAAAATATAAAACATTAAGAAAAGAAAGTCATTTGAAAACTACTTTTTTGACTTGAGAATTAATATTTTATGTAGGAAATTTAACCGAGTGGAGTGAATGTAGTGAAACATGTGGGTATGGTTATAAATACCGTTATTTAAAAACTTTATTATCTTCTCACCAAAATGAATCACAGCTTGTTGAAACATGCATGAATCAAAAATGTCCAGGTTTATTTTTAAATAGTTACAAATATAAAATGTATATATATATATATATATATATATATATATATATATATATATATATATATATATATATAAAATGTATGTATTTATATATATATATATATATATATATATATATATATATATATATATACATATATATGTATATATATATACATTATATATATATATATATATATATATATATATGTATATATATATATAGGTATATATATATATATATATATATATATATATATATATATATATATATATATATATATGTATATATATATAGGTATATATATATATATATATATATATATATATATATATATATATATATATATATATATATATATATATATATATATATATATATATATATATATATATGCTTATCCCTTAAACGTATCTAATAGGTTCAAATATAATTTGAACTATATTCAAATATGATTTTATAAACAAATTTTATTATTTATATAGTGGATGGAAAATGGAGTACATGGGTTAACTTCGAATCTTGTTCAAATCAATGTGGCATCTGCTTTACTAAGCGAAAAAGAACTTGTAGTAATCCAGAACCTGCCGAAGATGGATATGATTGTTTGGGCGCTAATCTTGATATTCAATATATAGATAATGGCATTTTATGTCCAGGTAACATCCAAAGTTTGTTGTTTTAATGTCAAATAAATATAATCATCATTTGTTTATATCGATATGTTTTTTTTACTCTATTGAAAAGAATTTTTAACTTTAATTTAAAGCAAATTTTTTTCCTCTAAAAAATTAGTTCATGGGGGGTGGACGCAATGGTCATTGTGGTCTTTATGCAGTCAACCATGTCATGGTTTACAAACAAGGCATCGTAGTTGCACAAATCCAATACCAAAATATAATGGTCTACCATGCAGTGGAAACAATACAGAACATAGTACTTGTTATTCTTATGAATGCAAAAGTATTCCTAGTTTATTTATTGTTATTATCTTTAAGTAAATAATAAAAAAAACAAAACAATAAGAAATAAAAAAAGATTGATTTTGAATAAATAGTAATAATAAATTTGTAAATAAAGGAGAAGGTGTTGTACCCTGGAACGGCTTTACCTTGAAGCAAAAAAATATTTACATTTTTTAATTTTGTTTCACACTTTCTTTCACACATAGAAGTAGTAACTGCATTATGGCTTTTTTGTATGGCTAGACCAATCTAACCTTTTTTAGTTTTTTTATCTGGCCAATGTAGATTAAATTGCAGTTTTGGAATTAGAAAGATGAAAGATAAATCTGCCATTTTTTTCATTTCATCCTTTGTTTTTATCTATTTTGCTTCATTAATTTTTCATAAAAACTTTTGACATTTTAGTAAATATTAAAATGTTTCCTTACCAACTAGTTTGTTTATCTAAAACGCTTTTTTGTAGCGTGTTGTACTTTGGTATCATATAATTATTTATGAATTTTTATTTAATGATTTATTAAATTATTCAATTCAATTTTTAGTGCATATTTTTTACATACATTTATTAATGGCAACAGTTGTACTTTAATAAATATGTTGTACCTAGGTACATCATTTCTCAAGACACATCACATTTATTTTTTAAAAAATACATAAAAAAGCTAATCCATTTATAAAAATGGCGTAATTCCATTTTCGAAAGTTATAGAGCATTTAATTAAATTACTTGGCTAATAATTAAATTTAAAAGCATTTGATGTCGAAACATTTAACATTTTAAAAATGAATTCATAATATATTTATAATGTTTTTTTTATGTAAGTAGAGTGTTTTCCCTATAACCTTTTACCAGGTTACAACATGAGCAAAATGTATATAGAAAAAGAATTAAAAAAAAAAATCAAGTATTAGTAGCTATAAATAAGTATTGAAGCAAATAATGTTATGATAGATAGTAGATAGTTAGCAGTAGAGAAGGATAGAAATTAGAAAGAATATTTGTTTAATAAAAAATTAAATAGACTGTTTTTGAATTAGAAAATTGTAGAGAGAGATTTTACCTGTGAGGGTAGACTATTTTATGTTGCATAAGCTCTGATATTTATATCGAATTATGCCCGTACCTATGTTTAGGAGTAGAGGGAGTATGCCGGTTCTAGCTCATTTTCATTTTCAACCATATTTTCAACCATATATTTAATTAAATATAGGGTTCAATGTTATCCATAATGTGTATAAATATTATAACTAAGAAATAAATTTTTTTAAATTTATATAAATTTAAAAAATGACTTTTTAAAATTTAAAAATTAGTGTCAATTTCATTTCTTTGACGTCAAAGATCACGAAATTTTCTTGCATGATGTCACAGGTCACGTGATTTTCAGATTGGTCTTGTGCGCATGCGCTTATGCATAGTAGAAGCATTGTCCTATTAGTGCAGCATAACTTCCAGATTGTCCAACTTGTGCATCACCAGAGTTGAGTGTCACTACTATTCATCTAATGTTACAATAAATTCACCTGATTCATAAATTCTACATTTTTTATTTGTATTAAATACTACAGAAGCTATAACATCTAACTTTCTTTCTAAATTTTTTAATAATTCTTCTAATTTTTTATAAGAATTAATTATTTCGTTTTGCATTTCGTTTTCCATTCTTTTTTATATACGCAAGAAAATTATTTAACTCAATTTCAATTTTTTTATTTTTGAAAAAGCATTTCTTTTAATGATTGTTTTATCTGTTCTCTCTTTCTTTTTATTTCTCTAAATTTTTTATTGTATGATTCTATTATTTGCATGCGCTTATCATAACATTTCTTTTTCTCTTCTAATAATTTTTCTATTCCTAATTCTCCTAGTCTTATTGCTTTATTATATTTATATTCTATTATCATTGTCCTTTCATTATAATTTCTTTGTAATTCAAATGCTTCTTCTTGTCTAATTCTTTCTTCTTCTTTATCTAGTTCAAGCATTATAGGACTAAATAGTTGACAGTAATCTACTTTATAATATGTATTTATTTATTATATAAAGAAAATTAATTTAACTTATTTTCAAAAAAATTTATTTATTGTAAATAATTAAAAATATTTAATTCTGTGTACTCTCATCATCGTCATCGTCATTTTCATCATATTTAGTAGTTTCTGTAGTTTCTGTAGTTTCTGTAGTTTCTTTAGTTTCTGTAATTTCATATCTACCATTACTATATTCAGTAGTTTCTGTAATTTTTTTAGTTTCTTTAGTTTCTTTAATTTCTATAACTTCATATTCATCATCATCATCATCATTCAATAGTTTCTGTAGTTTCATATTCATCTTCTTCAACCATTTCAATATCATCAGTATCTTCAGCCATTTCAACATCTTGATTTGATTTTAAATTAGTACCAGGTCCTGCAAATGTCATATTTCTTCTAAAAATCTAGAACAATATAATTTAATATTTACACATTATAATCTAGAACATTATAATTTGTAGTTCTTTCTAATTGTAGTAATCTTTCTTTTATTAATTTTATGTCTTCTAATATATTCTCAAATAATTCTTCAAGCTTCTTCGCTATTTTGTTTTCCATTCTTTTTATATACACAAGAAAAATTATTTAACTCATTTTAAATTTTTTTGATTTAAAATATTTTATTATTTAATAAAATAAAAAATGAATTATGATGAGAATAATGAAATATCTGAATTTCAAAAAGAATTTAGACTTTTTGAAGAAATACGAAACATTGAATTTGAAGAATCTGATTCTGCAAATGATACATACTTCGTATCTGATGATTCTGATGAAGAAGAAATTCAAGAAAAATGTAATGTTCCAATTCCTTCAAAAACAGTGCAAATTATGGAAATGTATAAAGATAAACTGAAATGGATTAATTATGTTCCAACTTATAATGATATTATCGATGATGATTATCCTATTATAGATAAATTTTTTGTTAAAAAACATAACAAAAACAGAAAATTTTGTTTTGAAAAACCATTTAATGTTGAAGTTAATTTTACAGAAGATGGAAAACCTTCTGCAATTCATTTTGTAGAAAAGTTACCTATTTTTTGTAAAAATATATTAAAAGATAATTTTTGCCCTTTTGGAAGAAAATGTAAATACAATCATGATATTCCTTATTGTAATACTGTAAAAGAAAGATTAATATGCACTAAAGCTTCATGCAGATATAAGCATATTTCTATATGTTCAGAATATCCTAAATGCAAGAATAAAGAGTGTAGATTATTTCATCCTAAAAAGTCAGAATTATTAAAATTAAGAAAAGCAAAAACTAAATTATGTAAATATAGTCTTGATAAAAAAGAATGTCCTTTAAAAGATAAATGTAAATATGCTCATACTAAAGATGAAATTAAAGAAAACGTAGAGAATTGTCCTTTTAAACTATGTAAATTAACAGAAAAGAAAATAATGAAAAATAAAAAAGGTGAAAAAATAACTTTATATAAAAATATAATTGATAATAAAAAGTGTTATTATTTTCATGAGAATGAACAAATTGTAAATTATATTGTAAGAACTTTAAAATATTAAATATTAAATATTTAATATTTATGACTTAAAAAAATCTTTACGATTTATAAAAAATGTATAAGAGAAGAATGTTTTTAGATTATGAAAAGCATGAAAAATATACAATAACTTTTAATATTAATTCAGATTTAGAACATAGAGCAATAAATGATAGGCATATTAATGTATTCACACAAGAAGATTTTACTGCAAAATCAAATTTATATAATAACATTTCTTTAATGTGTGGAGTTAAAATAGATAAAGGACATGTATTGATTTCACTTGAAGAAAATTATAAACCAACACTAAATTTACTAAATTCTGTTGTAATAGAGTCTGCTGATGATATTAAAATAACTTTATATAATAACGATAAAAAAGATATAAATATTAAAAAAGGAGATTTGTTACGCTGTATATCAACTTATAATGGTGTTTTTAATGCAAATTATATATCACATAGGATTACTTTAGAACCTGGTAAAAAAGTAGAACAAGTTAAGTCTCAAAGTGATAAAGAATCTGTAAAATCTATATTATCAAGTATAGGAGAAATAATTAAAGAAACTATATGTGACGAAGATAAACCTAGTTTAGATAAATCAAACAAAGCTAAAACCTCTACTGTATTTGATTTTGGTAAATAAAAAAATATTAAAATAACTTTTAAAATAACGAAGCAAAGATTTATAAAATGAATTAAACAAATTTTTCTTTATAGAAAAAGAATGGAATGTAAAAATGAATGTAAACAACTTTATCCAGATCTTAACCAGTTTTCAGAAAATCCATCTGCACCACCACTTTCTGATCATAACTTTAGATTACAAAAGATTAGTGAAATTCAGAATAAAATAGAATGCGAAAGGAAAAGAAGAGAGATCTTAAGTAAGAAATATCATAGAGCTTCAAGAATCATTTCAGCAGTTGATAATACATTACTAGCAAGCACTATGGCAATAGGAGCTGCTGGAGTGGGTTGTTTAGCAACTGGTGTATTAGCTTCAGTAGCTATTGGATGTGAGATTGCTGCATTAGTTATAGGAGCAGTAAATTTAATAGGATCACAAGCTAATAAAAAATTAAACTTAAAAGCAGAAAAGCATGAAAAGATTAAAGTACTAGCTGATGCAAAATTAAATAAAATAAGTAGTCTTATTTCTAAAGCTATATCAGGTCAATATATTGATGATGCAGAATTTAATATGATACTTTCAGAACTTGAAAAGTTTCAAGCTATGACTGAACAAATTAGAACAAAATCTAAAAATGATATAGATGAACAGACTAAAGAGTCAATATTTAATAAAGGAATAGAAAAAGGTACAAATGATATTATAGAAGTGCTAAATATGAGATTTAACAAGAATCAAAGTATAGGAATGATAAATAATACTCTTAAGAATTAAAAACATATATTATGTATTTACTGAACATAACGTATGT